AATGCTATTCAGCTGCAAGTGAATATAGTTCCTGCCCCAAACCACAAGATTTCTAGTGCCCCAATGATGGTGGCATCCTGTGCCTACCATAACCTGGAGAGTCCTCAGCTGAAATATAAACTCAGAGCTTCCAGTTCCCTCCATAATTACTTCACGGCACATCAGATCATACTTCTAGAGCTAGAAGGGACCTCACAGATTATCTACTCAGCCTCTCACTTAACAGGGGAGGAAACTGAGATCTGTAGAGTTGAAATGACTTGCCTAAGGTCACACAAGTAGAATAGAGCAAAGCTAGGATTTGAACCTAGGTCCTTTGACTCAAAGTGCAATGTACTTTCTACTCCATGTCATCAGAACTGGAGAAAAAATGTGTGAAGTTTGGTAAGTTGATTTATTTGTTGATTTACTTGTTTTTTTCCAAGAGAAAGATGTGTGTTGGGGGTAGGGGAGGAGGTTGTGTCACATTCAATTGTAATTCTGGGCCCAAAATGATCTTGATGATTTGTTCATATGTTTCAAATTCCTCTGGGGTTTGTTTGGCTATCCGCCATACTTTGGCATTCTGTCCCACTTTAGGATGGGTGATCCAGCCAGTGCCTTAGACAGTATACTTGGATGTGATATGATTAATAATAAAGGGGATTTTCTGAGGCAGTGCCTATCCTTAGGCATTTATGAGTTATCAGGTCTGATGATGGTGGCAAGGAATAAAATAATAACAATAACAGGAATTATTACAACTGGCATTTATATAGTTCTTTAAAGCTTGCAAAGTGATATGTAGATATACACACAATATGTACATGTGGGGATACATACAGATACACAGCCTCTATATACATATAAACATACATATGTCATCTTGGATTTAGAACAGCAAGGAACCTTAAAGGCAATCTAATGAAATCACTTTGTAAGAACACTTTGAGAACTGGCTGTCATTCTGGATCTTGTGATTTAGAGGGGCAAGGATTCCTCTCAGCCCTGTGAGTGATATTCCTGACAATCTTTGACCAAGAAAGTGGACTCAAGTCATGCTTAGGAGCTTTGAAATAAATAAACAAAGAGTTGTTCCACAATTAATAAATGGTTAAAGGATATTAGCAAACAGTTCTCATGGGAAGAGATCTAAGCAATTTCTAGCCACTTGAAAGAATACTGCAAATCACTAATTACTAGAGAAATGTTAGTGAAAGGAACTCTCAGGTATTACCTCACACCCATTAGATTAGCAAAGTTGACAAAAATGGAAGATGATAAATATTTCAAGGGCTGTAGGGGAAGGAGGCACCTTAATGCACTGATGATGGAGCTGTGAGGAGGTTCAGCCATTCTATAAAGCAATTTGGGACTTTGTCCCAAAAGTCACATTTAGTGTGCATTTCTTTCTCCTAATCACAACCTCCATTAGGCCTATGTCCCAAAGACATCAAAGAGAGAGGAAAAGGACCCAGATATATGAAGAATATTTATATCAGCTCTTTTTATAGTGGCAAAGAATTTGAAATTAAGGGTATGCCCATCCATTGAGGAATTGTTGGACAAATTATTGTAAATGAATGCAATGAAATACTTTTGTACTGTAAGAAATAAAGACAATTTCAGGGGAACTCGGGAAGATTCATAATGAAATTATACCGAATGAAGTGAGCAGAATCAGAATTATTCACCCTATAAGAACAAAATTATTAAAATTAAAATTTTGAAAGACTTAAGAACTCTTATAAATGCAATAATAAATTATGATTATAGAGGACTGAGCATGAAGTTTGCTCCACCTCCTGACAGAAAGAAGTGATGGACTCAAGCCACATCATGAGACACTCATTCTTGGACCCAGCCAATAATGGAGTTTGTTTTGCTTGATTATGCTAACTTGTTATAATTTGTTTTGGTTTCCTATTCATTTTTTTCTTTTTTTTTCCAGTGGGAAAAAGGTAGAAAAAAATAAACGCTTTGTAAAATAAAAAAAAAATTAATACAAAAATAAGTGAATAAGAAAAATGTTTTAAAGTAAAATATTTGCACAAACATTTTTAATGGCATATGACAGAACAGGCTGGAAGAATTAGCTCAGAAGCATTATCAGTGGGTAGGATTCCTCAGATACACTCAGACTTAATGGGCTAAGCTGGAGATGAGGGATGGCACCAGGGCAACAGTAAAGAAAAAAAGAGGAAGGAGGGAAGGGAGAGACCGAGCTGGCCATTAGCTCTCTGCAGGCACCTTGGGCAAAGAATTGGACTGAAGTGCCCATTGTAAGGAGCTCTTTGAAGCCTGAGAAAACTTCCAAAATGTCGATTATTTCACCAACTTCCCCTCGTCATGGCTGTCCAGTAACAAACACTGGCATGTTCTTTTCTCACTTCTTTTATCCATTTCTTCGATCCTGGGTTTGTCTTCTAGAGAGAACCCTGGTCAGACATAAATTCTTGTGCTGTGTACTCAGACAGAGAAAAGGGGAATGGGGGAAGCCAGGATTTAGCTGGAACACCCAGGATTTAAGTTCGAGCAGAGAGCCAAACCTTTTCCTAATTGTCCACCTCCAAAACCATTCCAACCTATTCTACTTTTCATTATATATGGAGAAACTGAGGCACAGAAGGTTAAGTAATTTGGCCAGAGTCTCCCTGGTTACTACTAAGTCACCAAAGGAGGCTTCACACCCACAACCCTTAACTGCAAAGCCAATGCTCCCTTTGGTACTGTAGCTCATTTGAGCCTCCCCTCAGTGCTACAGGGTAGGCACAATAGGCATTTTATCCCCATTTTGCAGATGAGGCAACTGAGATCAGGAAATTGAGTTCAAGAATTTAAGAGAGCTTCATTTCAGAAATTCAACTTGAGCTGATAGCTAAGGTGCTAGACATTCAACAGGACTTGCATGCAGACCCATCATGGTGCACTCATTGGCCCTGGGCTCTGCTTTATGACTCTCCCAACTTCTTTCTTCACCATACCATAGCAACCTTAGGACCCTACACCGTGGACCTTCACTCACTCCGCCCCAGACTTCTCCCCCTTCAAAATCACTCCACTATAGTGGCCCCTTCCTTGGATTGATCGGATCCTCTAGAACCCACCATTTTAAGTGTCCAGGCCAGTCATGCTCATTTCTTCACTCCTTTTGGACTCTACTTACTTCCCCTCCCCTCTGCTGTTCAGCTCCTTTTTCTGAATTGTCTTCCCTTTTTAGGATGTAAGCTCCTTGAGACCAGGGACTTGTCTTTCATTTTGCTTGTATTTGTATTCCCAGCACAGTGCCTGACACATCATTACTCCAGTGTCCAGCTCTCCAAAACTGTCCATGGGGTTTTCTTGGCAATGACACTGGAGTGGTTTGCCATTTCCTTCTCCATCAGATTAAGGCAAACACTGGTTAAGTGACTTGCCCAGGGTCACACAGCTAGCATGTATCAGAGACTAGATTTGAATTTAGGTTTTCCTGACTCCAGGCCCAGCACTCTATCCACTAAGCCACCTAGCTGCCTCTGAGGCAAACAAGGTCACACATCTATTAAGTGTCTGAGGCCAGATTTGAACTCGCATCTTCCTGAGTGACTCATAAAAAGTGCTTCATAAATGCTTGGCGATTGATTTTTCAGTTCTTCATCTATTTAAAGGGGGTAATGATATCTGTAATGTCAGCTTTGCAGACTTCTCATAAGGCACAGATTTGATTGTAGAGACAGAGATATCTATCTCTATGTCTGTGTGTATATAATATATGTGTCATGTATATGATATATTTCTATACAAATATGAATATATAGAGAATTTTCCTCTGCAAGTCCCTGAGTAGTAATGACTCTCTCTCTCTCTCTCTCTCTCTCTCTCTCTCTCTCTCTCTCTCTCTCTCTCTCTTTCTCTCTCTCTCTCTCTCTCTCTCACTCTCGCTCTCTCTTACTCTAGCTCTCTCTTTCTCTCTCTCTCTCTCTCTCTCTCACTCTCGCTCTCTCTTACTCTAGCTCTCTCTTTCTCTCTCACTAGATAGATAGATATAATAAAGCATATACACATGTATGTATTTATACATACTTTATGCATGTAATATATATGTATGTATGCATATATATATGTATCACTTTATAACTTTAAAGTGCTAAATAAATGTCAACTATCATTATCATTATTATTTATATATGTCAACACTTCAGGCCTCTAATCTTAGAGCTAGATGGGACCTTAGACTTTATATAATCTTAACCATTATTTCATATGTGAAGAAATAAATTTGCAAAGAGGTGAGAATGAGCCAAGCCCCAGAGCTAACTGGATAGACCTAGAATTGAGTCCTTCTGACTCTAAGCTCACTGGGCTTTGCCCTACATCATGCTGCCTCTTACTTTTTCAGTTTGGATTGGTGCCTGCTTTCTGATAGAGTATTCTAACGCCATGATCTGTAATAAATGACCAGTTGGCTTCTCTGCAAATTCAGTTTCATATTTGGAATGAACAAATGTTCCACTCTGGTTACATTTCTTTCCCCAGGCCATTATTCAGGAAGCATTACCAAGGCGATTTTCTACTATGATTAGTTAACAGTATTTGCTATACCTAGTACTATTTCTTACAAATATGGCTTATTCAGAATGTTCCAATTCAATTAAACTCAGTAAGTATTCCTTGTTCTTTCATTTTGTACCTAATTCCTAATTTACCTTCTTTTCAAAAATTTGGAAATGACCATTAATATAAGCACTATTTATGATGAGGTGGCCATTTTTTCTTGACCATGTATGCCCACTGTGGGCTCCTTACAGAATGTAATCTCATTGAGGACAGAGACTCTTTCATTTTTGTCAAAGTGTCTGGCACATTGTTTGTTGAACTGAATTGGATAGAATTAAATTAAAGTAAATTAAATTCTCTGGCCATTTGTATCCCCCCAGGTGTTATATATCTTGATCCCATTTCTTGAAACACTAATCTGGATTTCTTTGAGTCAAACAGATGTTGCATGCCTTCAAACCACCAGTACTTTTGCTTCTTAACAGGATTTCATGGCTGGAGCAGCAGCGAATGAACGTTGTGACATGGTTTCCAACTTAGTAAGCAAAGGCTGCTTGTCCGATTTTATAGAATCTCCTTCGGTTGGTGTGACGATACCCACAGGAAGTGAAATGAACACTCAAGTCAGCCCTGGGGAGGTGCTCATCCAACTGCGACCAGGTTTGCTGATTTAAACTGTTCCTCTGATTGTATTCATTGGATTCTTCTTGGTTTGGTATTGATTTAGTGGTGAGGAGAAATGGCCTCTAATCCAGGCTCTGCCAGTAATTGGCTGTGTGACCTTGGGCAAGTTAATTCACCTCTCTGGTCTGCACTGTGCTCATATGTGACCAGATTGAAGTAGCCCTGATCTCCTCCAGTTCTAACATTCTCGGTCATCATAGTGGATTTGATAGCAGCCAATGGGGGATAAGAATGGGAGAATGTCTGTCTCTATCCCTGAAGGAGCTTACATTCTAGTTGGATAGGGAAACGACATATATATAAATGGTTATGGAGAAGAGGAGTCCAAATATACTAAATGCCAAATTGTGAGCAGGGATTATTGTGGGCATGGTTGGGAAGGCTTTGGCTGACACCTGGGAATGACCTATTGCATTCAGCAAATATTCGTTAGGGACCACTTTATACTCAGCTCTACGGTAGGTGCTGGGGAGGTAAAGATCAAAACCAAACAGTCCCAGACCCAAAGGATCTTACCTTCTATCAGGCAAAACAATGGGCAGGCAGAGAAGTAAATACAAGATATTCAGCAAGTAAATGCAAAGTAATTCTGGGGGACAAAGTGCACTTTGAAGTCCATATGAATGTTCCTTCCACAGCCAGGGAGCATATGGAAAGAGGTCTGGACTTGGAGGAAGACAAAGTCAAATCTTGTCTCAGATATGTCTGAACTTTGTGACCCTAGGACTGTTACTTCACCTTGCCTATATGTGTGTTTATGTTAATACATGTGTAATATTATATACACATGTCTTGCCTGTGTGTGTAGGGGGATAACGGGAGGTGTGTACTTTACAGGGACATAGGTCAGTGTTAAGCTTGACTCCATTCATTCATCTGTATTAAATTCTTTGTGAGTGTGGTTATGGATGTATATGTGTGTTCTGTTCTCTTTCGACTAGTTCAGATAAAAGAGAGGCTGAAAAGCCAGCTGTTCCCCTCACCTTCTCTTCTTTGGTTGTATGGTCTTCCACTTTAGCACCCTGATTATGTGGGAAAATTTCCCCATGCTACACTTTCCTCTTTTTCTCTAATTTATTCTTTTCCCCCTCTCTTTCATTTCTTCTTTTAAGAGCTTAACAAATTCACTCCTGTAACTTTGTCTTTAAGAGCCTTCAGGACTTTACGACTCTTAGGGAACACCTATTTCTTCTCCCCCCATTAGAATATATAACTTCATCCTCTATAGTCTCTTCTAATTACACCAATGTATTGACCTTTTTTATGTTTCTCTTGATGCCTGTATTTGCATTTTAAGTTTCTTGTCAGTGCTAGTCTTTTTTTTTAAATTATAAATGCTTGGAAGTCCTCCATTTTATTAGAAACTCATTTTATCCACTGTAGGATAATACTCATTTCTTCTGGGTTGGTTGTTCTTGATTGCAGATGTGTGTGTGTGTGTGTATGTGTGTGTGTGTAATATGTCTTTTGGAATATCATATTCCAATCTCTCCTCTCCTCTGTAATGGTAGCTTCTAGACGTTGTGTGATCTGGACTGTGGCTCCTCAGTACTTGAGTTCTTTATGCATGCTTCTAACTTTTCCCCCCTTTAAACTAGAAGCTATGAATTTTAGTTATTATATTCCTGGGAATTTTCATTTTTTTAAGAAAGAGAATGATGGATTCTTCATATTTTTACTTTACTCTTTGTTTCTAATAGGTCTATGACATATGATATACAAACTCTTTTTCTGATCACATCTTTCAGGTCATCCTACAATTCTCCACATTAGTTGTTTTGAAATGAGGAAGCTTGTATTTTATTCTTTTTTTAGTCTTTTAGCTTTATTTGCCTATTTCTTATTTCATAAAATTATTAATTTGTGTTTGAGTCATTCTTGCTTTTTAGGCATTTCTTATTTGGCTAAGTACCTCATATACTAAATTATTAATTCTTCAAAATCTTTACCCTGGTGCTCTCATTTCTTCTCTACTTCTATCCTTTGAAGTTGAATTTGATTTATAATATGAATTTTTAACTCTTGCTTGATTTCTTCCAGGAATTCTGTTTTCGCTTGTGGCCAACTTGTATTTTTCTCTGAGGCTCTGCTTATAGATGATTTGGGGTTGTTCTCTTGTCAGTTCCTGTCTTTGGTGTCTTTGGACAATAATAATTCTTCATCACGGGTATCTTTTTTGTTTGCTGACTCTTCTAGCTTTAATTCCTGAATTGAGACTTTATGTAGGGGCTAGACTTTGTGTATTTATGGAATGCCTGGGCCTTACTTGACCTTGATCTGTATTCTCTAGTTTTTTCTGGAAGGTTTCTCTGGGTATTGACTGCCACATTCTTCAAGAATATTAGGGGGACCTCAAACCAGGGAACTGCAAACTTTCAACACAGACTACATGTCTAATATAGGGCAAAGCATGATCTCTCCCTTCCTGCTCTTAGCTTTGTAGTCTCTGAGTCCTAGGTATGGATGTGGGTGATACACCTACAAGCTTGCCCTGGGTTGGATCTCCAGTTGACAGTGGCTAATTCCAATCCCTTTCAGCTCTCTGGAAGGCTCTTTAAGTTCAGAGCAACAGAACTGCTGGTGTGAGCTCACTACACTAGTTACTCAGCTGCTGGCCCTAACTCGGGTCTATGGATTGAATCTGAGGGGCTGCTCTAAGGTCTGAATGACATAAGTGCAGGTTTGCTCTTGTCCCTGCTCCATGCTCTATCAGGGATTCCATTCCTTGCCCTGGTATTCATCTGCAGGTTCCAGTCTTGGTCTGCATTAGGTCAGAGCAGCATAATTGTCTTCTGTTCATCCTGACCATGACCTCTCTTTCTCATGATACACAGGCACAGGGCTCAGCCCAGTCCTGGTGCTGCCAGGCTCCTCTCATGCCTTCCTAGCTGGAACTGCTGCTCAGTTGCTGCAGGCCTCTGGCTGTCTCCCTATGCTGGCCTGGGGTGGAAGAATGATCCATTGTGGTTTCCTGATCCCTCTTTACTATTAAATTCTTCCTCAATTTTTGTTTAAATAGTTGTGGAAGAGAACTGGACTGCATTCCTCCTTTTTTGTCTATACCATCTTTGCCCATCTTCATTCTTTCTTCTATTTCTCCCAGTCCTATCTTATTACACACACACACACACACACACCACACACACACACACACACACACACACACCCCATCTACTACCCTTCATATCCTCACATCCTTCCTAAATATTTCCCCTTCACCTTAAGGCCAGGAGAATTCTTTTAGCACCCCAAATCTCTTGATAAATTGGTTCCATAGAAACGAATTTCCTCAGGCATGCCTTAGCCACATGAATCACGACTCAGTGGCAACCTCTAGGTCAAGGGTTCTTAACCTGGAGTACATGGACCCCCAAGAATTTTCTGTGAGTAGATTTCAGGGAGTCTATGAACTTGAAGGGGAAAAAATTACATCTTCATTTTCATTACCTACTATCTAAAATTTAACATTAACCTTAGTTGTTTCAAAACATGCTTGTGTTAAGGGGCATCACACTTTTCACCAAATTGCCAAGGGGGCTATGCCACAGCAAACATTAAGACCTCGAGAGCTATATTCTACTCACAGAAATTCATCTTCTCAACTATTGTCTTTTCTTCTGTGTCTAGACTTTCGGCAGTTTGCCTCCCCCAGCTTTCTTATCTACTACCTCCTTCAATCCAGTGACGGTGGCCTCCTGGCTGCTCCACAAACAAGTCACTCCATCTCTGGGCTCCGGGCATTGTCTCTGACTCTCCTCATGCCTGGAATGCCCTCCCTTCTCTGCTTCAACCACTGACCTCCCTGGACTCCTTTTAGTCCTGACTAAAATTTCATCTTCTACAGGGAGCCTTCTTCACCCCTTCTTAATCCCAATGCCTTCCCTCTGTTAATTATTTCCTGTTTATTGTGTGTATATCTTATTTGTACATATTTGTTTGCTTTCTGTCACTCCTGTTAGATTGTGAGCTCCTTGAGGGCAGGGATTATCTTTGCCACTTTTTATGTCTCCAGCACTTAGCACAGTGCCTGACACATAGTAGGCAGTTAATCAATACTTATTGTTTGATTGACCTTATCTGCTCCTCTAGGGCTCTAGCAAGTAGACTGATTATCCAGACAATTAGATTATAGAGGTCATTTATTACCAGGCCATATGCTAATCTCCACCAACTCATGCAGGATCTCTTTTCTCATCTGTCTAATCTAAAGTAGAGAAATCATAGGATAGAGGAAAAGTTATTGGTCTTAAACTCTGGATGACCCATGTTCACTTCCCACCTCTGACACGTACTGACTATGTGACTAAACATGGTGCCTCAAGGAACTCTCTAAGATTTATCTAAACCACAGCCATGGGTTCCACCCTGCTGTGCAATCTGCATCGGCATAGGGACTTCCCACTCCAGGAAGTCCCCCAGAGTTACAAAATCACAGATCCGTTCACTTATACTCACAGACTTCTTTGACTCTTAGGCAGCATTAGTAGGCAGACCTGAGTCTCTCATCAAGCCTTACCCAGGGAGCCACCTGCTCCTTGAGGCTTCTTTTGCTGAAGTTCCCAGTCTCAGACAATGTTAACACAAAACAGCTGCTCATCACTCATCGCAACTGGATTATATTTGGCTTCCTTTGGCCCCAGACAGACTGGGAATAACAGAGATGCAGCCAGATCCCCACATGAATTTAGGGAAGTATTGATTTCATTTCTCCACCCTGCCTCCTGGTGCTCCCAAAGTTTCCTTCTCATCCATCACAGCATTCCTAACCTGTGTCCTTTTTCCTCAGGGCTTTGTTTGTTGACAGCTTCAACATTCTGATAAGCTAACACTCTCCCAACTGTTCATGTACTGAAAACAAGAGTTGATTGGTGATGATGGCTGAATAGTCTCTAGATAGCCCCCCACAGGAAGCAGACTATTTTAAATTCCTAGAAATATTATAGTAGGTTTGCCCTTGTGTCATCATGGATGCTCAT